TAAGAAGTGTCAGCATTCCAAATATCATCCAGAGTCCAAGGCAAGAGGTTCCTCAAAGTTCCAATTTATTAAAAGAGCCATGTTGGCATATCTGGGAAAACCCAAATCTGAAAGCTTCCAGGTTTTCCCACCCAGTTGAAAGTTCAAGCTCCTGCCCCAACACCTGCAAATTCATCACATGGTCCAATCTTTCACTGCCATGAAAACAGATTCCTCCCATCCAGATCTGGGCAGGAGCAGAGTCAAAATCGACCTTGACTTTCAGAGAAGAATGTTGTTATAGCTACACATCACCCAACTCCACATAATCCCCTCTCCCAGTTTCCCATGATAGAAAGTGTGGCAGGCCTGAAGTCCAAAAAGAAAAGATGGCTTGCAGGTCTGACAGATTGCATGTAAATTAAATTGGATTTGGATTGGATTTATTACATTTATATGCCGCCCTTTTCCCCGAAAGGGACTCAGGGCGGCTCACAATTCAATCAGGGAAGGCGGTACAGACAGGGGGATAAAAAAGACAAGACATAACAAATTCATTCTCATTGGGCTATTTCTCTGCAGTATAAATGCACATTAAGATTTGCTATCGCCATTCAACCCTATTTAATTTAATTATGAGATTCCATTGCATGAGGAAGACCTTGTAAATTATATAGATAAAAAAATCACAAACTTGGTAAAATAAGAAGTTGATATTCAAGCTGTGACTGGTTGCCTGCAGCATAGACCTTTTATAAAAGGCTTTTTAAAAAAAAACTCGCAATTTAAATGGGTGTATTAACAATGCTATCATGTGGGTTGATATAATTAAAAACATCTTATACCACCCCAAAGGTATTTTGCAAGCCATTGAATTAAATATGCTGGCCATGTTCCCAAATCAAATCCTGCCTTAATAAATTAATATACATATTTTATTCTTGGGCTCCTCTCAAAATACTTCATTACAACTTTATATAAGTGAACAAAGCAACTAAGAAACCCAATGGCAAGATTTCAGCACTTCCTTAATATAAGAAATAGCCACGGTGAAGAATAATGTCTATTATTTTACTGCCTTTTTTGTTTTTCGGGTTACTGGTATGAACAATTGTGTGTATTCTAGGATGATGATTTCACTGCAGATACTTCGAAGAAAGAAATGAAAGTTAAAACATTTATCAAGCATTTTGCAATGTTGGAATATTCCTGTTTTGTACAGTCTGGAAGTGAAACTGCTATAAAACCCAGAATTGGATAAATGCATTAATACAAATTTAGTAACTAGGGTCTGGACAAAACTGATTTTATTATATATTTTTTTATTGTAGAAAAGTGCTGTCTTATCTTATAAGCATAGAATAAATAAAATTACTATTGTTATTACTAATATAATTACTATTATATTATTGTTACATTTAACATTTTTAAACTTAATTAAATGTGAAGGTAGTTAATTTGATTACTACCTTCATTTATATGCTATGGTTATTTCCCCCAATTTTCATATTTAAAAATTACAATGTAATAACAGATCTTAATAATTTATGACATTGTGTGGTACCCTGGGGCCATCCTGGAAGATTATTTAATGGCTTTCTTATTCATGGAGCACAGCAGTAAAAAACAGATTTATCAAGACGTTTGGAAGTGTGGGAATATTTTCTGTTTTATGAGGTCTCATGATGAAACTTCCCTGAAGCATGCAGCTAGACAAAACTGGGATATATCATCCCAGAAACTTGTGCATGGTTATTTTATTAATGTCAAAAAATTCTCAAGTTGTTGTCACTAAATAAAAATAAAGTATCACTTAAACTGGTATCTGTCTCTAGATCTCCATTTTAAAAAACACTACTTTAGTTTCTTGCTTAAAGTTACCCAGGGTGCTTTATCCATGTTATTTCTGAACTGAATAAATTTTTGAATAATTCCTTGAGATGAAAAAGTAGATTCCAATTTATAAGTAATTCCTTAAAGGATTTCATTGGCATGATCCTGTTTCTTATCTTTCATTTTGAGTGGGATGCACTGGGTGATCTTGTTTGACATAATGGTTTAAATACCTAGATAAATCAGCAGTTGCTAAATGCCACCCTAGTCAACCATGAATCACCGAGGATTCATGAATGATCAAACATATGAAACCAAATACAGAATTCTCATTTGAAATTCCATAATGTTATTTTTTAAGGCAAGAGTGAACCCTAGATTGAAGTATTGGCTTTTGAGTGAAGTGCTGGGGGGACATTCAAAAATATAACACATGAAATCATCTAGGAAGATAATTTAATGGCTTGTTTACATGTGTAGCAGAGTCCTAAGATTTGTCAAGCATTTGGAAGTGCGGAAATATTTTGTTACCTAATGAGAGCTGGGGATGAAACAGCCTGAAATGTACAACTGAATGCATTGAACCCATAGTGATTCTCTGTGTACATATTCCTTGATGTATAAATAGTCCTCGACCTATGAGCCCAAAATTTTCATTCCTAAGTGAACAGTTGTTAGGTGAGTTTTTGCCCCATTTTATGACCTTTCTTGCTACAATTGTTAAGAGAATCACTGCAGTTGTTAAGTTAATAACATAATTGTTAAGTGAATCTGGCTTCTCCATTTGGCTTATTGGAAGACTGCAAAAGGTGATGATATGCCCCCAAGATTCTGCAACCGTCATAACATAGTCTCCAAGATGCTGCAACCGTCATAATATGAGCCAGTTGTAGTTTGAATTTTGATTGCATGACCATGGGGATGCTGCAACATCCGTAAATGTGAAAAATGGTCCTAAGTCATTTTTTTCAATGCTGTTGTAATTTCAAATGATTGCTAATGGAATGGTTTGAAGTGGCGGACTACCAGTACCCTAATTATGTTGCTACGTGCATGTTAATCCACTCTCTAGGGCACTCTAAGTCTTTTGAATGTTTCACAAAAGTTTTAAAAATAGCGAAGACTTCTTTTCAAAGCATGTGAAAACATTAGGAAAATTCCTCTTCCATCCTGCTTAATTTTTCTGCATGCAGGTCTCAAGCCATATGCTGCTCTATCAAGTGTGCTTTAGCTAATTCAGAGCTCTATTGAGTATAGTGATGCGTGATTCTGTGATGAGCGATAGCCATGTGCAATAGTTTTCATCCAAAGCAGAAAGGTAGTTATTTAAGTTCAGGAAACATTGCAAGAGGTAGTAACAAGATGCAACCCGTCACTGCCTTATAGCCATGTCCTTTAAACAGCTTACTGAGCCTGAATAGCACCTATGCAAGCAGAAAACTATGCGGTTGCATTAGGAGAAACATTTCCTAGTGACATAGAAATCTGACACCCTTGGGCTGAAAACCTTTATTATGAAATGCTTTTGAAGAAGTTGTCATTCTTAGAATTGTGGTTATTTCATTTGCTGACTTTAAAATCTCAGAGGAACTCTTTGATGTCAGCATAGCTTAATTTCAAGAATAGCCTTTTCTTTTTAAAGATACTTTTATTGTTTTAAAATAACAGGTTAAAAAAACCTCACAAATATAAAAAGGCCTGCATTGTCAAAAAAAGAAAAAACCTAATCTTTTTTTTAAAAAAGAAAAATACAGTAACAACAAAAAGGATATATATCATTTTATATGTAAATAATTACAACTCTATATTAATATATCTATGTATTATCTAATGTAATTAGTCAAGTAGATATATATTTATAATACATTTATATAATTATCATTTTAACCTATTTATGTAAATGAGTTCCATATCTCATTATGAGATTCATTTGTTTGTCCATACAGAGTCTATGTATGTATGAAATAGGCTCATAAGTGGCAAGTTCAATCAGTCTTCAATTTATTATTGTAAAGAACCATATATTTATTTTTTCAATGCTGCAGCCCCAGTCTTTTGAATGTAACAAGAGGTTCCATTTACATTAGAAGAGAAAATTGGTAGCTCAGGTTTAAAATGAGGAGTCCTTTCTGACCCTCCCCCCACGCATGTGCGTGCGCCCCCTGTCCCGCCTGTGCACCACACCTGCGCGACAGAGACACGAAAACAGATGGCTGATGGGAGTCATGCACACATGCACGGTGGAGCTAGCTGGGACGACCGCTCGCGTCCCCACAGAGATGGCTGTGCATGCCACCTGTAGAATGCGTGCCAAAGGTTCGCCATCACTGGAATAAACTCTCAGTGCTTTCAAACTCTATCCCGGCTCATGATTCCTGCACTGGACACTTCCGTGTTTTACCACTAGCTATATTTAAACTTAAAATTATATTTTATTGTATTACAGCTAATCTCTTAATTCATATGATAATAATATCTCAATTTTTTCTGAAACTACGGAAAGCAAATTTCCTCAGATTTGTCTGTCAAATTAATCTAGAATTGCTTTAAAGTTACCTTTAAAAAATGTGGATGCTTTTATTGTTATATTAACTGTGATTTTGTTTTGAACCTAGGAAGTTGATTCCTTAACCACAGGAGCTGGAATCCCAGTGGGAGACAAGCTGAATGTCCTGACCGTTGGTCCAAGAGGCCCACTCCTGGTTCAGGATGNTCTCTGCCTCCAACACAGAGCCCTCATCAGAGCCTTCCCCAGACTCCAAGACTGGCCCATGTTCCTCTCCAACCTCCTCACTGGCTGAATCTGCTGCCAGCCCTCAGCCTGCTGGCAGGCCACAACACAAAGAACATATTGCCATGGCCCCATTGGAGCCTGATTCGGAGGACTAGTAGTCAAAATTGGGACTGTTCGATAGGGATTGGACCCTTGGATCTCCCTTGGCATGTTTGGAGAGGCCAGGGGCTGAGGACAATGTTGTCCCAGCCCCTCAAACATTGGGGGAGATGGTCGACCAGACAGAGCACTGCTTGACTGCACAGACATGGAAAGATCGGCTGCTGACAGGCAGTCATGCTGATAGGCAGCAGATCTCTTCTGATGAGGAACATCTGCCTCCTCCACTGGATCCAAGGGCAAGGAGAGTGCAGTGGAGGCAAGTACAGAGAAGGACTGCAAGGCTACTCGGGAGGAACTTGCACCGCACCCTCACAAGGAACACCTGGAATAGAGTAACTGAAGGAAAAGTAGGGAGTTTGCTTTGGCTTACACCCCCTGGCTTCAACTCGTGCATGTTGTGGTTAGCCTTGTCTTGCTTGGAAGATTCCTCTTTGCCTTTTGTCTTGAATCTAGCCCTTCTCTTGTGGACTCCTTTTGGCCTTTGCTTCACTGTGCCTTTGGAACTGCTTCTTGCCTTAGACCTTTTCTTTGCTCTGAGGACTGCCATTGTCTTGTGCCTGGACTCTATCTTGTGGACTGGATTTGGAACCCTGGACCTTTTCTTGTAAGCATGCTCCTACTCTGTGGGCTTTATTTATACTATAGGGGCTGTTGTTTAGTGGATTGAGGGTGGCTGTCTTCGGGGTAGTATGGGGGGGGGAGATTTAGTGGTCATTGCAGCGCCATTTGCTGGAGAGAAATAAAGGACTCTCTAGAGGCGATCACCAGGGTCATAACATATATATATGTTAACAAATAACAGTTAATGGAAAGCTAGTATGCTGCAAAGGAAACATAGGGTGTCCTCCCCCTCCCCGCCCCAACACTGCTGTTACACTCTATATCAGTGATGGCAAATCTTTTTTGGGTCACGTGCCAAAAACGGGGGGAGCCCAGGAAGGTCGTGTGCAGGCATGCCACACTCATAATGCTATGTGTGCGACCCTGAAGCTTCCGGAGTGTGAAAAACCGGCCTAATGAGCAAACCGGAAGTTCAGGAATGGTTTGCTCATAGGTTTTTTTTTTGCCCTCCGGAGCCTTCAGCGAAGTCTCCTGAAGGCTCTGGAGGGCAAAAAACAGCACTACAGTCAAACCGGAAATCACTTCTGGTTTGGCCGTAATGCCGTTTTTCGGCCTCTGGAGCCTTTAGGGAAGCTTCCTGAAGGCTCCGGAGGGCGAAAAATGGTGCTATGGCCAAACCGAAAGTCCATCCCAAACTTCCGGTTTGGACGTAGGGCCTGTTTTCCTTGAAGCCTCTGGAGGGCGAAAAACGGCCTCAAAAAAAGGCCGAAGTCAACTGGCCAGAGTGCGCATGTGGCTGGAGCTGACAGGGCAATGCCCCATGTGCCCTAACAAATGGCTCCACGTGCCACCGCGTGCCATCACGGCTCTATATAGTCTCTTGAACATATTTTGTGATCATACTTAAGACAAGCATTTTGCCAAATTTCTGTTTATGCTCTCAAAGTTTCAAATGTGGCTATTAATTCAAGAAGGTTGGGAACTTCTGAAGTATACTAGAATATAGATAATTTGGTTAAGCATATTATATGACCTTCAGAATCTGATTTCTGCACTTTGCCAAAGGGAATCCTCTCAGCAGGTGGCAGCAGCGTTCAACCTTCCCTGCTGGTTTACCCATTGACCTTCTGGGGAAACCAGCATGGGATCGCAAATGGTGATCACATGATTGGCAATTATTTGTTAGCTTGGCAACTATTTGTTAGGGTGAATAGGTTGCCAAGCACCCAGATCGAGATAATAGGATGGGGAAGGTGGCACAACATTTTACAGTGGCTGAAAGTCTTTGTAGGTTGTAAAACACCAGTTCTGAAGCCGTTGTAACTTTGGACAGATGTTAAATAACTAGTGATAAGTTGAGGACTGTCTATCAAATCAGATTGCAGTCCAGAGTTGTTAGGACAGTGACCCAAAATAGATGGATCTCCCTCTTCCTCCCTCCCTCCCTCCCTCCCTCCCTCCCTCTCATCCACCCATCCACATCTGAGCGGACTCACGCATATAGACACACTCACATTTTGGGTGAGCAGAGAGGATGGGTACTGAAGTTTACAAAGTTTAAGCTTTCACTGCAGTTATTTTGTGCTTTTCATCTCAACTGTTATATAACTGAAGTGAGGTTGTGTATCAAAGGCAAAGAACTTGAGAAATGGTTTCAGGGCTCTCAGCCTCCTCACCTCTGATGTAGAACAATATATGAGACGTCCAGATGTTTACCCCACAAATGATTCTAAAATGGGCCAAAATTAGCATAATAAATGAATTCATTATTTTTATTACTGCTGAAGCAAATTAATAGACCCACAATATTACAATATTTACAATACAGTCATTACAATATGGTTGTGAGTCAATGAACGTTACAAATATATGTAGGTTAATTTCACCTTCAGGCTTTTTTTCTTATGTTAAGAAGATAATTACAGGAACAGAGAATCAAAGCCCTAAATGGTTTTTTTGTTTGTTTGTTTTGGGAATTGGAAGCAGCTAAGAATTCAGTTCTCTGAAAAGAGATTGTAGAAATGCCATTAGCTTGCAAAAACAAATTTGTGGTTGTAAGACATAGTGATGTGCTTGCAGAGCTGATACATTTGCATTCTTTGCTTGCATTCTGTCCCGTTTCTAATACATTGTAATTTTTGTTCCTTAGGTGGTGCTCCAAACTATTACCCAAATAGTTTTACTGGCCCTGAGGAGCAGCCCACTTTGATGGAGAGCTGTGTATTTATCTCAGGCAATGTAGAACGTTTCGATAGTTCAGTTGAGGATAACGTCTCTCAAGTAAATAAAGTAGAAATGCCCTGTTACAGATAGTCCTCAACTTACAACTGTTGATTTAGGGACCATTCAAAGTTACTTTTGAGCATTTTGCAGACTGACGTGAAGGTTGCAGCATCATCCATGTAATCAACATTTGGATGCTTGGCAACTGGTTCGTATTTACAGCTGTGGTATCCCTGGGTCCTGATCCACTTTTGCGATTTTCAGACAAGCAAAGTCAATGGGGAAGCCAGATTCCCTTAACAACTGTGTTCCTAATTTAACAACTGCAGTTAAATATGGCAAGAAAGGTCATAACATGGGGCAAAACTCAGTTAACAACTGTCTCACTTAGCAACATAAATTTTGGGCTCAACTATGGTCGTAAATTGAGGACTACCTGTGTTTTATTTTGGAAATGAACTCTCTGTAAGCACACTTTTTCTTTTTCTCTCTCTTTGTTAGCAAGGTAAATTTATCATCAACGTTCCCTTTGTACCTCTTCCAAGTACCTAATTTAAAACAAAAAATTGAGAGCACTTGCTTGATATAATTCTGTCCTCAAGTAATTAAGCTTTTGTTTCCTGTTTGCTGTGAACTTTCATTACTAAATTTTCTCAACTAGTGGATATAATGCGATTATTCAGTCTCTTGGAGTCAGTCCTCTATTTTCATGGTTTGGCCAAAATTACTATAAGGTGCCAGTCCTCTATACTGCAGATCACTCAAAAATATTCCCTTTCCTTCTTTTTATAAAAAATAATATTTGGAAGTAGTCCTTGACTTATGAACACAATTGGGACTAGATTTATACTTGTAAGTCAATGCACTCTCATGAATGGACCTGATTTTACAACATTTTGGTGGCAGTCGTTAAGCAAATCACTGTGGTCATTAAACAAATCCACACTTATTAAGTGAGCCTATTTTTTTTAAATGAGTGAGGTTTTTTACAAGTAACAAGCAAACACTGTCACAAATCAGAAATGACATAACCAGTCATAAAGGCAAGAAAGTTGACAAGATCCTAAAATGAATGTGATTGCGGTGGAGATGCGGTATGACACTTCCTGATAACCAAAAGTGCTTTATAGCAATAGCAATAGCAGTTAGACTTATATACCGCTTCATAGGGCTTTCAGCCCTCTCTAAGNTTTTGTTTTTATCTTAACTTTATTTATCTTTGCTGATTGTATTTTACTGATAGATACAATTTAATAACACTTAACATTTTTTATTTAAAAGTTTGAATTAAAATTGTGGTTAATTAATTGTATCAATTGTATGGCTCATAGATTTGCGAATAGAAGTAACCAGAAAATATTAGAATCCGATCAACCATCTTTAATGTTGGAGAATGAGATCTTTTTATAATTTTTTTCACTTTGTTCTGTAATACTACATTATTCATATATCATGATTTATTCTGCTGAATCCTTGCTTAATTGTATCATATGTACTAAGCTCTTATTAACCTACCATAGTTTACTTGTCAACTTTCAGTTGACTCATAATATTTTCTCAGAATTTTAAAAAGAAAATCCATAAATATTGTATTGGCCAGAGGAAGAATTCTTTGCATTTATTGCTCCAGAAATGTATTTATGATTCAGAGGTTCATATTGAACTAAGCATAATTTCACTATGCATATTTAATATTTACTGATAATTTAGTTTCTGTTTTTTCTTGCATGTAATACACCCTTTCTTTCCACATACAGATCTAATCAAGAATGATATGCTATAGGTAGAAATATTTAGAAATTACTATTGCTCAGTCTGTAAAAACCATTTGTGTGCAATGGCTATGGATCCAATAATTGTTTCATTTGCTTTACGTTAATGTCAGGGGAGAAACAAGAAAAAAATAGTGAAAGTTTTTTTTTTGTTAGAATCCTTTGTTGTTCATTAGAATCCTTTGTTGAATCAGAGACTCACTAAAAGGAGATGCTTTATTTCTAGTAATGTCCCCCCCCCCAAAAAAAATAACCAAAATGGGTACATGTAAGTCCCTGATATTAATGTTTCTTCTACCGTAGGTGATATTCTTTCCAACACTATGGACTTTGGAATAATCTTTAGCATAATTAGCATAAAATGTGCACTTATAAGCCGTTGATAATAACGAAAACATTATATTCTGCTTCATCTACTATAATTGATATTCTTTGCAAATTTATGAACTTTGGAACAATCTTTTTAAAATTGTAATAAACTAATCCCTTTTAATTTTTCAGGAGCATTTGGCTTTTTTGAAGTGACTCATGATATCACCAAATTTTGCAAGGCAAAGGTATTTGAGCACATAGGCAAAAAAACTCCAATGGTTATTCGATTTTCAACTGTTGGTAAGGATCTTCCAGACTTTCAGTGTATCTAATTTATTTTCTTCATATATAAAGAAGTTTCACTGAGTCTGTGTGTGTGTGTGTGTGTGTGTGTGTGTGTGTGTGTGCGTAACACATTTATTTCAGTGGATGTTTATGTGCTGTTTTCAATTGATACTGGGCAATGTCATTTAATAAATAACATCTTCAATATGAAATGTTGATTCTTTATATTTTCCTAATTTTTAATAGAATCTTATTAAATAGGTTACTACATGAAAGGATCAACACATATATAGCCTTGAGCAAGTTTTAGTAATACCCAAAATATAGGTGTATTATTTCTCTAAAGGATGTTTATGTCTGTATGTATCTGAAAGAATAATGACATATAATTTATAACATTATTTGACAGTTTGATTAAAACAGCTGTTTTTTTAAAATTTGTATTGCCTTGTTTTGTTTGATTTTTTAATTGTTTTAATTTAGTATTATATTTTCTAAACTGTCCACAGTCTGCTGAGTGGGCATCTCCAATACATTTAAAGAATGAAACCAAGGTGTAAATTTAATGAATATTTCATAAGTGCTTTTTCTGCATTTAGTCAGTGAATGTATTTTGTAAATTATTTGTGTTTAAAAGATCATTTATAAGTAATGTTTATTAAGTCACACCTTCCTAGCCTCCTGCTATCCCTCTGAACTTTAAATTACTTCTGTGCAATTCTGTTTCTGCTCTTTATCTCTTAAATGTCAACTTTCTGGATTATAATTCCACCTTAAATAAATAAATTGGCAATGTCATTTAGGGTATTAGATTATGAGCATAGGATTTAATCACAGGATATATTTTTTTTAGCTGGAGAATCAGGCTCAGCTGACACAGTGCGTGACCCTCGAGGCTTTGCAATGAAGTTCTACACTGAAGATGGAAATTGGGATCTTGTAGGGAACAACACTCCCATCTTCTTCATTAGAGATCCATTACTGGTAAATTGGAACATTAGTGATATTTATGATTTATGGGACCTTAAAAAGTAAAGAAAAAGAAAATGGTGTGTATTTAAAGCAATATCTTCTAACAAGGGTCTTCTATGCCATTTGAATGTGTATAGTAATACAAATAAATATTCTATCTCAAATGTTTCAATTGCAGTGATGCAATTTGCATATGTGAGCACATTCAAACCATTAATTTAATGGACCTGAAATTAACTCTATAAATAAATATTCCTGACTTGGATTATTTCCCATGTAGCTTTCTCTTGATGATTGTTCCATATTTAAAATTTTATTAAAATGGGATGGCACTAAAGGGTTTGCAAATATTCAGCTTGCAAAACTGAATATCATTGTCTAAATATTTGCAAATAATATCAGGATAACATAATCGTCTGAGAGGGGAAAAAAGCTTGGCAAAAACAAAAATCATGCTATCTGAAATTCTAAGTAAATAATATGCTTTTAATCAGGTTTCTGCCATAATAAGCATGGTCGTTGTTTTGGAACCTGCCATTATAGTTTCTTTCGGACACTTAGAACTCATTGACACTGTATTGCAAACTGCCAACAGTTCTCTAGCAGGACTTTTAGTTCCTGAGCAGAGAGACCCTGTTATGCTGTCTGCACTGCTCCTCCCAAGGCCTCTTCCACAACCCTATCCTCCTTGTCTACTGTGCTACCTCTCTGCTCTGTGGTATAAATCGTCTGGGCTGAAAATCCTGCTTGAATTTTGGGTTGGATCTTTTTCAGCAACCCCTCAGAAACGAGAGGAAGTCCTCTTGTCTGTGAAGGCTGGCTATAAACATTTCATACTGCAAATGCTCCATGCTGAAATCTTTGCATTTCAAGTTATAAATTTTTCAGCCAGTCCCAAGAAAATAAAGGAATTTGGCAGGTAGCAGCAGTGACTTGCAACCTTTTCTACTAGCTTCCCCATTGTTCCCTGTCAGCTTCTGGGGAAGCTGACAGGGAACACTGCAAATGGTGATCACATGATGTAGGGCAACCAACCATAAGTACAAACAGGTACTCATATCACTATCAAGATTATGGGGGCACTACAACAATCATAACTTTGGGCATGAGTGATAACCCCTTTGTTCAGTGAACTTATAATTTTGAATGGTCACTATGCAAATGGTTGTTAAGCAAGGGCTACCTGTAGATTTTGTAGGTGCGTGGTTGCTAAGTGGCTAAGACGCTGAGCTTGTCGATCAGAAAAGCTGGCAGTTCGGCAGTTCAAATCCCTAGCACCACGTAACAGAGTGAGATCCTGTTACTTATCCTAGCTTCTGCCAACGTAGCAGTTTGAAAGCATGTAAAAATGCAAGCAGAAAAATAGGAACCACCTTTGGTGGGAAGGTAACAGTGTTCCGTGTGCCTTCGGCATTTAGTCATGCCAGCCACATGACCACAGAGACGTCTTCGGACAGCACTGGTTTTTCGGCTTTGAAACGGACATGAGCACGACCCCTTAGAGTCAGGAGTGACTAGCACATATGTGCGAGGAGAACTTTTACCTTTACCCGTAGATTTAAATTTAAGTGTATAGCATTTTAATTCTTTGTTCTTATATTCTGCTAGTTTCCATCTTTTATTCATACTCAAAAGAGGAATCCACAGACACATCTGAAAGACCCAAACATGGCATGGGACTTCTGGAGTCTTCGCCCTGAATCTTTGCACCAGGTAAGATTTTACCCCCTTCTAGTCTGTTTCATTTAAGTCATCTATTCTTCATCTTGAGCTCAGAAGAAATGACAGAGACCAGGAGATATAAAGACTTGATTCTTATTATGTTGCTATATTAAATTACATTTTTCATCGTAGAAAAATTTCTCAAGAGAGAAGAGAAGTGGGTTTAGTTTCTATGGCATCGTCATTTTTTAAGATAAAAGCCAAAAAGTTACAATAAGCCATTTCTTGTTCCAGTTCCACTCTTGCAAACATGAAGGGAAAGAGAGAAATATAGGGTAGTATCTAGAATTCCTTGAAATTAATATGTTTGTCTTTGCAAGTAGAAATATGAATATAGAACTATGCATACAGTGTGTATAAAAGCCATAAATTATGATGAAGAACAATATTTTTTATTTATCTGTTGTTACCTTACATTTGCAATATCAATAAAAATTTCATAACATACAAAAAGCAACTAAAAAGATTTTTTTAAAAAAATAATGCTAGCTGAGTTTAAGACTATTTTTTAAAAGAAAAACTCAAGACTGCTTTCAAAGCCTGCTTTATATATAAAGAAGAAACTATCCATCTTTTCCCATCGAAAGATTTGCAGAATCTGTGTTTAGATTATATGGTTGTAGTTAGAATGCTTAATTATGGGAATAAAATAGCAATAGCAATTAAACATACTTCTTCATAGTGCTTTACAGCATTCTCTAAGAATTTAACAAATTTTACAAATTGTCCCAACAACCTTGATCCTCCTTTTACTACATACTACAGTCAGGATCGAACGCCTAGCTATGGACAGAGTTAACCTGCAATACTGTATTCTCACCTGTATTCTAACCACTGCATTACCATACAGTGTTAGAATGCAGTATTGCAGTAATAAACGTTCAGTAACATAAGCTAGTAATTGAAATACTGAGTTTCACACAGGCAACTCCAATTCTTTTAATTCCAGGCTGGAAAATAATTTGGGATGTTCTGAGACAGCATTAGATTTATTGGGAAGATATTGGAGATACTTTTATTTGATTGTTGTTTTGTTAGTCGCAAAATCATGACCGACCCATCATGACCCAATAGACAACATTCCTCCAGGCCTTCCTGTCCTCTATCATCCCCCGCTGTTCATTTAAACCCACATCAACTGCTTCAATGTCTCCATCCAGCCACCTTATTCTCTGTTATCCCCTTCTTCTTTTGCCCTCAACTGTGAGTCCTTCCTTCTCATTAGGTGGCCAAAATATTTGAGTTTAATCTTCAGGAGGATCTGGCCTTCTAAAGAGCAGTCAGGGTTGATCTCATCTAGGACTGATGGGTTTGATCACCTTGCAGTCCAAGGGACTTGCAGGAGTCTTCTACAGCACCATAGTTCAAAGGCCTCAATTCGTTTCCTATTCTTTTTATTTGATTAATTCCTAAATTAAGTTTAACCATTTGTTGCACATAGTCCAGAGATGTTCCTTAGAAATTGTTCTTCAATTGTAAATATATTACTTATTTATTGTGTAGCTCTTGCTCCTACAACAATTTACTTCTTTCAGTAATCAGCATTGCTTCTTTCCTAGGGCTGAGAAATAGTGATTAGCCCAAGATTACCTAGCTGGCTTTGTTCATAAGGTGTGGCTAGAACAGTGGGCCAGTCACTATTTCTCAGACCTAGGAATGAAACAATGGCAAACAAGGGCTGTTGTTGTGGGGAAAATAGGAGGGAGGAGTATTTGGTATGTTTGCCACCTTGAGGTATTTTTAAAAATAAAGGTGGTCCTTATTCCTGAGGAGTGCTCAGTTGCAAGTTTTTTATAGAAATCAATTGAAGATATACCACTTCACTTCATACCTGTTTTTAAAGCAACCGGATAATTGCGCACATGCGCGCAACGTGCGGCGCCTGCGTGAGCTCCGACAAGCAGCTGGGTGTAACAGGGGCGGTGGAGTGTTCATGTGTGTGCAGTGCCTACATACATGCACACTTCACTGCCCCTGTGCACAAACAGGACATGCGGCCCCTGTGAGCAGCATACTGGTAGCAACAGGGAGAGGAACCCACCACTGTTCTAGCCGTACCTTATTCACAAAGCCAGCTGTGTGCATGTATGCAATTGGACGGTTGCCTTAAAAACAGGTATGGAACACGAGCGGGCAGGTGGGCCAAGCAAGTCATTGTACCGGTATGCTGTCAGCTGCTCCTAGCTAGTACTGGTAGGGCCGTACCGGGCCGTACCAGGCAGAACCCACCTCTGGGCTAGAACTCACACTCTCCTGCTTTCTAGGGCTAGAACTGACATTCTCCTGGCGATTTAATATTATACCACACTGGATCCTGTGTGTAACATTTACTTAACAGTGTATATGATTGTTCCTTCCCTTACTATGTTGCTAACTGGCTCAGATGCTATTTTTTGTCTGTTTATGAGTGTATGAAAGGAAGCATTCTCTACACGGAGCCTAATTATTCTTATTTCTTGAATGAATGTTCTAAAACTGCAATATGACATTATAGATATTGAGTAGGGCTGGATGAGAATAGGCAAGAAATATAATTAGAATCTACTTTTGTGCGGAAGGAGACAGTTGTTCAATGGAATCCAGCCTCTGTGTTCTCATTAAAGATGGCTATGTACGTTGTTTTGGCTCATGTAGGTATCATTCTTGTTCAGCGATCGTGGCATTCCAGATGGGCACCGTCACATGAATGGCTATGGGTCACATACTTTTAAGCTAGTCAATGCTTACGGAAATGCAGTATACTGCAAATTCCATGTAAAGGTAATTATGGTCTACTGTTACTATTTTCTCTTCTATGTTGATCCATCAAAAGTCTGTCCCTGACTCCACCTTCTGATAACATATCTTATTTCTATCTATATTGACTATGCACTAAATTGCTAGGCAAAGCCACTTGCATTCATATCAGTTCCTATTTTTAATTAATAACAATATTACTTTTAGCAAAAATCGTCTATTTTCCTTCATAACGTTAGGAAATTTTACTCCTTCCACCCATAATACTGTTTTTTCTGCATATAATTTCACAATATATCCTTGGGCCTAGATTTGTTTCTTGTATAGCAGCTTTATAAACATTCTCTTACAGCACATTTACATTTTTAATGAGGATTGCTCTCATTGGGTTTAGGCGTGCATTTTTTAAAAATAATCTTGTAGTCCCTTAATTCGGAGTAGAGTCTGGGTGACTGGACGGAAATGAGCATTTACTGACTAGATGCCCTTCCTTACTCATACATAGAGTTGTCAGCAGATATTTTTTCTTTATACGCTGACAGAGAAACACATCTGCCATTACCCAGGATTGAACTCCCAACATTCCAAGTGGGGGTTGAGTGAAGACTCTCACCACTAGGCCATCATGTCGTTTGTGATGACCTAGTGCTGTGGTGGTTGTTTGTGATGACCTAGTGCTGTGGTGGCGAACCTATGGCACACGTGCCCAAAGTGACATGCGAAGCCATGTCGCCTGGCACATGCAGCTTTGCCTGTTTGTCTTTCAGGTTACTGGCGCACATGCGTGCGGGGTGATCAGCTGTACTTCACATGTATGGCAGTGTGTGCATGTGTGCTGGTCAGCTTATTGTCGGGTATGCATGTGCGCCAGAACCCAGAAGTTCAGCTTTTCTGGAGCATGATTCCTTTTTACATGTGGCAGTGCCGAAAACCAGGCTGCACATGCACGCCAGCCAGCTGATCGTTGGGCACGCATGTGCGCTAAACCCAGAAGTTCAGCTTTTCTGCAGTGCAGCCCCGGTGAGCATGTGCATGCGCGCACGATGTTTACACACGAAAATTCACCATCACTGACCTAGTGGGTAACAGGATATATTAAGAATAACTATTTCTATATTTAGTCCTTATTAGTAGCTAATTTTACTCCTTCCATCCATAGTACTGTACATATAATTTCACAATATATATTTGTAGATAGATTTATAACTACATTTAGCAACTTTTGGTAACAAATTATTAATTAACATAGCATTTCAATATTTTTAGACCGATCAAGGAATTAAAAACATATCTGTCAAAGACGCAGAAAGACTGGCTTCTGAAGATCCGGATTATGGCCTACGTGATCTTTACAATGCAATTGCTAATGAAAACTTCCCCTCTTGGACTTTCAACATTCAAGTTATGACATTTGAACAAGCTGAGAACTTTCCATTTAATCCTTTTGATGTAACAAAGGTGAGTATATTTTTGTGACCTTTTCACCAGTGTACAGCACAGAGTAGAAAAGGTAGATTTCTACATCTTGCAAACTCAAGCTGGAACATCTTGGTCATATATTCTAGGTTTGGCCTCATAAAGATTATCCTCTCATCCCTGTGGGAAAAGTTGTCTTAAACCGAAATCCCGTCAATTATTTTGCTGAAGTGGAACAATTGGCCTTTGACCCAAGCAACATGCCTCCAGGAATTGAACCTAGCCCTGATAAAATGTTACAGGTAACCAGAATAGATTTTCCTCCCCTATTCATTGAATTGTGAGACTAGGCAACCCAGCCTGTCAATCAGATAACTTTTGCAATAATGAAAACATGTTAACCTCAATCTGTTTGGTATTAGAATTTTTTCTTTGCCCCATGCTTTTCAATTTTTTGGTGTGTTGGGTTTTTTGTTTTTGCCTCTGAATATTAAAACAATTCGTAAAAAGAATACCATTCGTTATTTTCACCTTAGGCACTAGCAGAGCTTGACACAAGGAAGTTGTTTGGTTTTAAGACCCCCATTCTAAATATAGTTAATGAACTGAAAGATTGTAAGTTTGTTATTTGATTAAATCATTAATTTGAGGACCTCTTAGATTATAAATTATTTAAGAAAGAAAAGAAAAAGTCTGAGGAAAAAGAAAAATAAAGCATGAAAGTCATTGTTCTAATTTTGTTGCCACTTTCTGCTATATTTTACAGAGACCTTTGATCTGAATCTACAGGTTTGTTTCTGGGCCATGTTCTTGGGGCCTCTGAAATCAAGACTTTTCCCTCCTGTGGAGTAGGACCAGCAATAGTCTTTCAAAAGCAGTGATGATATAGGCAGTGTTGAGAAAAACCTAGGGAAAAGCTGCCTGCTTCTTCACTTTTTCCCCTGTGATATATTTTTTCTAGGGTCGTCTTTTCTCATATCGAGATACCCACGCGCATCGTCTGGGACCCAACTACCTTCAAATTCCTGTAAATTGTCCATACCGAACTAGGGTGGCCAATTACCAGAGAGATGGATTTATGTGCATTTCTGATAACCAGGGTAAATCTGAAAATAACGTTTGGGAGCTAGGTTATGCCAGTAATTTCGAGTAACCTTTGCAAGTGCCTTTTTTTCATTGACATTGACATCTCGGCTTAACTACTTAAGTCATATAAGCTGATAGCTGTTTTCTTCATTTCTATTTTATCTGATCAATTTCTCCCTCATTTTTATTATGTGGACTTGTAAAAAGGTTTAGATTTGGATGTGGTGCTATGCTTTATTCAATAGGTTTAGCAAACAAACTCTCTGCTCTACACATACATACATAGCTACAGCTATAGCACTTAGACTTGAGTTCTGTAGTGCTTTACAGCACTCTCTGAGCAGTTTACAGAGTCAGCATTATACCCCCCCAACAATCTGGATTCACATTTTACTGGCTTTGGAAGGATGGAAGGCTGAGTCAACCTTGAGCCGATCAGGATCAAACTCCAGGCTGTGGGCAGAGTTTGCTTGCAATACTGCATACTAACCACTGCCTACCAGGGCTCTTTGTATATATTGTTCTGACCTAGGCATGCTCCCAGGAGCATGAAGCAACTCCTTGTCTCAACAAAAATCCCTTTCATTTATTTACTGTGAATTTTGCTCATTCACATCCAGCAAAGTCTTTCAAGGGAAGATTTACAGTCACAGACCTTATCTGGCTTGGAGAGCTGGGAGGGTGATATCTGCAAAACTTGGCAAGAAGTCTCGGAAAGTCATGAACCAATTAAATGAACTGTTTCCTGCAAACTCCACTCCCCTTTCATTCTTCCTTTATTTCCTCTGGGAAGGCCATTCATCGTCCACCTGTGGCCTTACTCCCAAGTCAATCCCTGTCATTTAGCTGTTCCCTTTGTCTGGCAACTCTGTGCATGCACACACTGGGAACAGGCTCCAGCTGTTCATCTGCCTCATTGATTTCTGACTCTGAAGGCAGCTGATAACTGGCATACGGCTCTGGCCCCCTCTCTGCCTCCAACACAGAGCCCTCATCAGAGCCTTCCCCAGACTCCAGGACTGGCCCATCTTCCTCCCCAACCTCCTTACTGTCTGAATCATCTGCCATCTCCACTGGCCGCTGGCGGGG